TTGCGTAATGAAAAAACGTGTGATTGGAATGAATATTTTTGCATAGTATAAAAAATGTTGTCGTCTAGTTTATGAAATGCTTTAATTTGTGTTTTGTCTAATATTCTGAAACTTTGGCGTAAATATTACGCAAGTAAGGCCATGTAAGGACGTTTCCATGTAATGAACTCATTAAAACGTATAAAAGCTGTACTTGTGCAACAGGGCGGCCAAAAGAAACAGTTTCCTTTGGTATTTGCCCTTATGTCAAGGAGAAAGAAGGAAGACTATGTGATGGTGAGGCACAAGTAAAATGACAAAAATGCGTAAAACTATTCCTGTAAAATATTATGGCAAATCAGAGAAATAATTTCGATTTTCCTGTTCCTTTAGGTTTTGTAAGCCATACTAGAACGGCTAGATGAACCCGTTGTTGAGGAAATTATGCTGGACTTTGAAAAGGGTATTTTCATTTTTCTATTCTCATTACGCAAACAAAAATAGTACTCTAGTGTACCTGTATTAATAAAAAAAAAATTAAATTTAAATAGTTTAAAAAGTGAAATTATAGATATCAATATGCCTTTGTTAGCGGCTTGGCAGTCCATTCGAGAAGTATTACCCGGCATTTCAATCCGTGGGTGTGTCTTCCATTGGACACAGGCATTATGGAGACGCGTGCAGGAACTAGGACTAGCTGCCACCTATCGTGAAAAAAAGGCAACTCACTGGTTCATCAAGCAGTTAATGGCCCTTCCATTTCTGCCTTCAAATGACATCAACCCCACATTCCGGTCAATGCAGGAAAAGGTTCAGGAATCTCCCTCTCTAAAGTCCCTCACAGACTACATGGAAATACAGGGGATTAACAACGCTGTATTCCCTATTCCAGCCTGGTCCATCTACAAATAGGAGATTCGTACAAACAACGATACCGAAGGTAATTCTTTTTCGTATATGTGCCTGCAATATTTATCGGTAACCTCCTCCCCCTTTAATATTATTGACTTGCTTTTTCTTAAAAATTACCAAGGATGGCACAATCGTCTCAATGGCAAAGCCGGGCATGGAAACCTTGTGTTCTACCACTTGATTCCTCTGCTGCAGAAGGAGGCTGAAATTGTGCACGTCCAGGTTTCCGCACAGGACCTGTCTCGTGATGCCAGAATAACCAGCACAAGGGTGGGGAAGAAAATTCGGTAAGCTTGGTCGGACTATGACGATGAGATGATCACTACAAGCCATTTCTTGCGAATTTGTGGAGGTGTTTATGGCACATGGAGTAAGTTTTCGATAGTCTGATTTTTATCGGTGTTAAATTTGCGTTAATTCTTGGGATATTGATGTTTGTACATGCCGTATTCTTTTGTATATATGTAAATATTACATTTCAGGTTTTTTTTTTCATTGATAGCATTTTTCCCTTAGATTTTTGTTTTCTTCGCGTTCTTAACATTTTTGGCTGTAAATAAAATTTGTACACAAAAGTAAAACTTCGTAAATATTTACATACATGGTTTATAGATATAAAGGTAGCCTTTTTCTACAAAAAGATATTTTACTTATGTTCATTTTCTCCCTTTTTGTCGTACGATCTAGAGTGACAGAATGTTATTTGAATCCGTTTTACTTTTTTATTCTTCATAGTTGTCACGCTGAACATTATGAAATCAATCGGTAAAAGTAAATTTTTAATAAAAAAAAATTTTTCTTTTGTTTCGACTTTCTTCATTTTCTATTAAAAAAATTCTTTTCGTAGACAAAATTTCATTATTAGCTAAGGCATAAAGAACAAAGTACGTTATTGGTGATTTTCGCCGAACCTTGAACTAAATTGAGATTTATCGCACTCAAAAGTTGAGAACTTTATCTTTCTAACAATATATAACTTGTTTATATCTAATTACGTGTAGCACATCGCAAATTATGATAAAAAGTTGTGTTTAAGCGGTAGTAACGTCAGTTCCGACGTTCATTTTCCTAGACGATGTCACTAACGTACATGTCTCTCTTGCGTCATACAAAGCTCCTATATGTATTAAAACGACGTGCGATTGTCTGTAAAATAGAAATCAATACATTCAAAGATATTTTAAAAATTTCATTTGCAATGAAGTTTACATTGTATCTTATGGGCCATGGCAGAGATTGGGGTAGGAATGACAGTATTTTACATGAATATAAATTTAATGCATAGCGAATCATCCGACTGCCTGCATAGGACACAAAACAACTACCCATGATTTTAATTTTTTCCAGGAGTTCGAGCCACCTCAAATTTCTTATTAAATACACCGTTACATACGTTTATGTGAACATCCTGTATATTTTTTTTCAAAATTTGAGGTTATGGGAAGCGGAGAATAATAAATGATGGTAGCTATAATACTTGAAATTAATCTAAACCTGTCATAGAGATAATTTTATTCAGAGATAATGCAAAAAACAAACAAACAAACAAAAAAAACAAAACAAAACAAAACAAAAAAAAAAAAAAAAAAAAAAAAAAAAAAACACCAGAACTTCAGGAACTGCTGACATTCATTTTTTCGTCGGACTAAGTCCGATTGTATCCTTTAAATATTTATCGAAATAATTATAAATTGTAAACAACGGATGGACCGTCTTGACGATGTTGCACGTGTTGTTGATGAATCTTGGTACCCTAACCAGTATTTAGCGACATTAAACAGAATTTACCCGTGGCACATAAGTTATATTCATTTTTTTTCATTATAATACTAAGTATATTTGTAAAGTTCTCCATATAATTACTTTTTAATTTTTTTTAAAACAAATTATTACTATGCACACGATGCTGGAGAGTCAATCTTGCATGAAATAAAACTTTCAGGCAATTAATGGAACACAGTGGGAATAAACGCCCATTCTATATTGTTAGCGGGCCCGTAGTACTGCCCCCGCCCTCCCATTTTTTTTTCCGAGACTAGCTTTCAGCTGTTGATTCACAATGTAGTATGGGTTTTTTTAAAATCCAAAACCCGTTTCTCATGACCTTCCTTTTTGTGTTGCATTACAATCACCCCTCCCCCCTTTCCAACGTTTAACACGCAATTGAAAGCTGTCTTATTGAAAAATGGCAGCGGTATTACACAGGCGGCGCACTGCACAATGCTCAAATGTTTCGAACCTGAGGACACTCCTTTAGAAACGCATGATAAATAAATATCTACATAATATGAAAATATTTTTGGTTCAGGAAGGGCTTTTAGTTACTTGGGAATGAAAATATACGCGTTTATTTAATACTTAATCATATCTTAAAAATTAAGATATTTTATATATATATTATATATATATATATATTAAGATATTTTATATATCTTTTTAAAATTCAAATGATGAATCAAAGAATTCAATTCTGGTAATTAGGGCATTTCCCACAGACACTTGCTTCGTATATAGAGCATCCCCTCCTTTCTTTTTCCACGAGTTATCAGTTTCAGACACCCTCCGCTTCAATAAGGTCGAATTTTTTTTATCAATCATTTTTTTTCTTTAAATAGATCGCATTGACAGCATTTTTTCTTCTTCTGTAATAAATCGTTTCAGACTTCCGTTGTCGAGTCTCTTTCTTGAAAACTATCCATGTACAGCCACGTAGCATCGTTTTTGAAAGTTGGTGGGGGGCAGCCAGAGAAATAAAATACTTACCTGAAAAAACTGACAAAAGGAAAAAAAAAAGTTGCCCAAAGCTGAAAATCCTACTTCCGGGGTGGGGTAGGGGGGTGTAGAAGCCAATTTTTTTTTCAAAGCAGATTTCTATCAGGTACCAATTTCTTTTACCTACAACACTACATTTTCCTTATATCACAACCCCCCCCCCCTGTTGCTACGTGCCTGATGTATTCCTCAAATATTACCTCAAGGAATAGCCTAGAGGAAATCACATTTTGTGGGAAAGGGGGTGGTTTTGACAAGGGACTTTCCTTATTCAATTTTCTTCAGATTCATGGCTTTTATACCTTGTTACAGGTAATCTGTGTTTCACAAGGGGATGGGGTGTTTTCCAATAAGATTTTTATGCCCCGCCATGAATATGGCTGGGGTATATAGTGTTTGTCATGTCCGTCTTCCGTCCTTCCGTATTTCTGTCAGATTGATGTTCAAGTGTTTGAGGAGCAAACTGAAAACCTACTAAGCCTTCTGTGTTCAAAAACACAGAAATGATAAAAGATCAGTATGTACTGGTTCGACTGACGAAGCAGTTAACAACATTAAAAAGTTTTTAAAAAAACTTTATACAGGGATATCAACTGCAAATCAAGTTGCTCGTGTATACTAAGGTGCACAGCAAGTTTACTTCCAGATATATTACATGTAAAGCAGAGAATATTTTTCAAATAATATTTCCTTCATCCAACTCGACCTTTCACTTGACTTTTTTACTTCCTGTCAACATGGCAAATTTCTGCTGTAACAGCTTTTAAAATTGCACTTGCGAATTTTTCCTTTCGTTTTTGCTAACCTAGTGAACTATTATAAAGACAATATCGTAACATAAAATAATCTTTTTAAAAAATAGTACATCAAACTTGTTTACTGAAAGTAATATGATCCACTCCAAAGAGACATGTTCTTCGCAGCTTCTAAAACGACGCTAGCTATTGAAAATATGTTGCTAAAACAATAAGACCGCAAAACATTAACTGGCAAGATTGGAAATATACAGCTTACGTCATTTCTATCTGTTACAATCGAAACATTCAATGACAGACAATGAAATGGGCGGGTACAATTCGACGCGGACGTGGGGAAAACATTGGATTGAAATTCTAGTTTGAAATTCATTTTCAATTCACCTGAGCTGTTTTCAAAAGCAAAATGTGAATGTATTATCCAAAAGACAAATAATTTAAATTCCCAAGTACAGTCATGTTGGTTGAAATTTATATTATAATGAGTTTATAGCCTATAATATATTCTTATGGACACTTGTAAAAGTCATAGAAGACATTTTTTCAGGAGCCTGCATATGATTGTAGATGGGGGGGGGGGGTCAAAATTTGTCGAGTCAGATCATGCATTGTACCAAATAATTTTTGGGTTGACAAGACTTTTTTTTAGTTTTGTCTTGAACAATGAAAAATGTTGAAACTTTCTTATTTATTTCCAAGATGATTACCCTCCCCCCCCCCACCCCAACGCACACATCACACGTACATGCATAAATTATACCAAACAGAAATCAAATATTTGTCCCTTCATATATTCCTTTAAAACGCTGGACAGAAAATTCCGATTTATATATTATTAATATTCAAACTATATCGAAATTGAAAATTATTTGTTCATTGGTTCAATCAGTAATCATGTGCCTTCTAGCGGAGCTGAGGTGGATTGAAAATGAATTTCAAACTAGAATTTCAATCCAATGTTTTCCCCGCTTCTGCGTCGAATTGTACCCGCCCATTTCATTGTTTATCATTGAGTATTTTGATTGTAACAGATAGAAATGACGTAAGCTGCATATTTCCAATCTTGCCAGTTAATGTTCCGCGGTCTTAAGATCAATACCTCACTTAAAGTCAAGATTTCGTATATTTTTTGAATGCGTTTTTAGATCATGTAATGACGTCATGATTCCATGTGCCCAGTAGATCTGTTTCTATCTATTTCTATGTGCATATTAAGCATCATTTCTACGAGGGTCATTCAAAAAATACGTAGAGAATCTTCCTCATCGTCACATTACTATAACAAGATTATAGATCAACACATTTTCGTAAATGAAAACATTTATTTTGTAGAAGTTTGATTATATAGGACTCATACTTGCAAATTTTAAAGCCACATGTTTTGTTAACACCGAGCACGGTTAACCAACATTGTAACGTCAAAAACAACGGCGAGAAAAAAACTCAAAATTACTCTGCTTTTTAATTTCATACGCGGTTTTTAGCGTCTTTTC